AACTCGGGACCTCTGGAAGAACAGCCAGTGCTCTTAACCTCTGAGCCATTTCTCCAGCCCCCCCACAAGGTTTTTTTGTTGTTTCGAGACAGGTTTTCTCTGTTATAGTCCTGGCTGTCCCAGAACTCACTTTGTAGACCAGGCTGGCCTCAAACACACTGAGATCCACCTACCTCTGCCTCCCAAGTGCTGGAATTGAAGGTGTGTGCCAACACTGCCAGGCTCAGCCAAGGCCTTAATACACAGTCCTGGGATTAAATACATGGCTTCATCTTCCATTTCAACCTCAGGTTACATGAACCAGACTAGTAAATTTTTCCCTTCAAGTTGTCCAGTGTTACAGTTCACCGGTTAAGAGGGTGTAGTGGCACATGCCTGTAATTCCAGCAGTCAGGTAGCTCTTGGGCTTCCATCTCAAAAAAAAAGGAAAAACATCCTAACTACTACTGCTGCCCCTAGAATGTAACAGAATCTGATTCGCCGTCCTTTGGACCAATGGCTCCATGTGTAAAGGGTGTAAAGCAGTTTTGCTGTCTCCAAAACAAAAAAACACAAAAACAAAGCAGCATTTGGTTCCCAGCCCTGCAGAGGAAAGCAAAGAGCACCTAGGTACTGAAGCGCGTAGCCACCTGTAACACTTCAGGGGATCCAGTCAATGCCCTGGAGTGGGAATGGGGAGACTGCAGTCACATGTACAAACACTTTGTTGGTTATTTACGAGACAGGGTTTTTCTGTGGCCTTGACTACCCTACAACTCTGTAGACTAGGCTCTAAACATTAAGCTTGGGGACCCACCTGTTTCTCCCCCCCACGTGCCAGGATTAAGGGCATGTGCTGCCATGCCTGGCTTTTCTTGAGATGGTGTTTTACAACGCCTTTCTGATTAGCATAGGACTCCATTAGATCAGCCAGTGCAGGATGTCCCGCCATCTCCAGACCACACTTCTTTGTCCTCTGATTTTCTCAGTTTTGAGATAGGGAGGGTCTCCTATCCCTGGCTATCTTGGGACGCTGTGACCAGACTGGCCACAAGCTCAGAGATCTGCCTCCTCTGCCTCCTCAGTACTGGGGCTAAAGGCTTGTGTGTTACAATTTTCAAGAATGTGGAAGAAAGCCAGGCAGTGATAGCATGCACCTGTGAGCCAGCCCTCAGGAGGCAGAGGCAGGTCTACACTCTTATGTGTGAAAGCTAAAGAGGGGATCTGGATGTAGTACAGTGGTTATGAAGATTGGGAAGGATGTGAAGGAAGGGTGTATGAAAGGACAATTGGGTTTGGTTATTACATGTTGTGTGTATGTTTTGAACTATCACAATGAACTCCGTTACTATGAAGCCAGCCTGGATTACAGAGCGAGCTCCGGGACAGCCAGCACTACGGAGGAAAGCAAACACAAAGTGAATAAAAAAAGTTTGTGCAGGCATGAGGGTCTCAAACTCAGAGATCTGCCTGCCTCTGCGTCCCGAGTGCTGGGATTAAAGACAGGCATGTACTACCACCTTGTGGCCAAATGCTGGGCTTTGCATGTGGTCAGCAAGCCCTCCACCAATGACGCATGTAATACTGCTTCAGAACCATTGGTCTACTTCCTGCACCAGGACGCTGAATGTGCCAGTCAGTACCTCAAAAAGGAGCCGAGGCTACAATATCCACTAAGGCATCTGGAAGGGTAGAGTCCAGCTGCACCTACTGATGAAACTGCTCAAACCCTTAGGCACTTACCCTTAAGAAAACCTGAAGATACCCCAGCCTCCTCACAGGACATCTCCCCACTACCTGGTGAACATCCTGCAATCACTAGTTCTCACTTGAACTAAGCACCATCCATCAGACCAGATTTTAAATTGGAGTTGGGGATGGTGGAACACACCAGACTGGTCTACGTACCAAATTCTAGGAACAGTCAGCCAGGTCTATTAGACCCTGACTAAAAATAAAACTAATGTGTTGGTCATAAGCATTTATGTAGCAGAGGTTCAGACTTGAGTCCACCACGTCAGGTGGCTAACATCCAGTAAATCCGGGTCCAGAGTACGCAGTGTCCTTTTTTCTGGCTTCCGAAGGCTTGCATACACCTATAGCAGACACTCACACAGACATATCATATACATGAAGTATATTTAGAAATGCAACATGTATACAAAGATTGGCCTGCCTCTGCCTCCCAAGTGCTGGGATTAAACATGTGCCACCACTGCCCGGCCAGAATTTTTTTTAAATTTATTGTGTATACAGTATTCTGCCTATATCCATGCCTGCAGGCCAGAAGAGGGCACCAGATGTCATTACAGATGGTTGTGAGCCGCCATATGGTTGCTGGGAACTAAACTCAGGACCTTTAGACAAGCAGGCAGTGCTCTTAACCATTGAGCCAAGGACCCAGAATTTTTTTTTTTGGGGGGGGGGGTTCAAGACAGGGTTTCTCTGTGTAACAGGCCTAGCTGTGCTGGAACTAGCTCTGTATATCGGGCCTGCCTTAGTCTCCTGAGTGCTGGGATTAAAGGCATGTGCCACCCACCACTGCCCAGCCAGAATAACTTTTTATAAAGTTATTTTGTTATGGATGTTTTGCTTCCATAGCAGTGTGTCACATGCGGCAAAAGGTCAGAACATTTGAGGCTCCAGTACTGGAGTTGCTGATGGCCACTGGTGGTTCTGTGGGTGGAGAACTAGAGTAGCAAGTGCTCTCAGCCTTTCACACCCACAGGCTGTATTCTGGCGGACCTGGGACAAGGTTTGCATACATAGGCCAGTCTGCCTGTCTCTCAGGATGCTCGGCACAGACAATGGTCTGAAGGGAGTGCCCCTGCTGAGTAACTGTCAGGGATGGGAAGCAGCTTTCTGGCTACTGAGGTCAGCAGCCCAGTATTTTATTTTAGGTAATTAAACCCTAAACTGCAGGATTATCTATTGACGTTCCTAAAGGTTTCCCAGACCAGTCTAGGCCTCAGTAGTTTAGTGACTCCTTGTGAAACAGTATGGTAAGGTCAACTTGTGCCTCATAACCCCCATCAGGCCAGCCCAGATACCCTCTAACTAGATGTGGAAGCACAGCTAAGCAAGCCCAGGAAGCTGCTGGGCTTTCTCATCCCAGTCCAAGAGTCCAATGCTCAAAGTATACAGTGACAGAAATAACTTGAGCAGCCCATGGTTAAAGAACTAACTAGACATTGTAACTGATACCTGTAGTCCCACTTAGAAGGCAGAATCACTATGGCCAAGTTCAATACACCTTCCAAGAAATAAAAAAGGGCTGGAAAGGTAAAAATCTGGCTGTCTTTCCGGAGGACCAAGGAACTCCAGGACCAGGGAACCAACGCCCTCTGCTGCCCTTCCAGAGAACTACCGACATAAAGGCAAGGAAAATATTCATACAAGCAAAACGTGTTACAAGGACTCGGGTAGCACCCCGCCTTTCCCAAATGCTGGAGTCACAGGTGTGGTATCTTGCCATAACTAACTCTTTCCTCTATATATGACTATCTATCACCTCACAAAGTCCAGTAATCCTATAGATACTGGGGAAACTCAGACTGAGAGCATCCAAAAGTTCAAGGACTAGAGTTCCACGGCAACTCAGAGACAATAGGCAATAAAAAGGAGAGCCCAGAGCTATTGAAAGGTGACTTTACAAAAAAACAGAAGGTACAAATGTAAAACTAAGGTATAGCATACTAATGTTAAAAAGTAGGTGGGACATCAGAGGTCTTATCTCCAAAATATACAAAGAACTCAAAAAATTGGTCACCCAAAGATCACATAATCCAATAACAAAATGGAGTACATGTAAGGAAATGTCCAACATCCTTAGTCATCAGAGAAATGCAAGTCAAAACTCAGAGATTCCATCTTACACCTGTAGGAATGGACAAGATCAAAAACACTGATGACAACTTATGCTGGAGAGGTTGTGGGAAAAGGGAACACTTCTGCATTGCTGGTGGGAATGCAAGCTGGTACAACCCCTTTGGATGTCAGTGTGGCGATTTCTCAGAAAATTAGGAAACAATCTTCCTCAAGACCCAGTAGTACCACCTTTGGGTATATATCCAAAGGATGCTCAATTGTCCCACAAGGACATGTGCTCAACTGTGTTCATAGCAGCTTTGTTTGTCATAGCCAGAACCTGAAAACAACCTAAATGCCCCTCGATCAAAGAATGGAAAAAGAAAATGTGGTACATTTACACAATGGAGTACCTACACAGCAAAAAAAAAAAAAAAAAAGACAGCTTCAATTTTGCAGGAAAATGATTGGAGCTAGAAAACATTGAGTGAGGTAACCCATACACAGAAAGACAATTTTTATCACATGTACTCACTCATAGGTGGTTTTTAAACATTAAGCAAAGAAAGCCAGCCTACAAACCACAATCCCAGAGAACTTAGACAACAATGCGGACACTAAGAGAGACTTACATAGTTCTAACCTACATGGGAAGTAGAAAGTAGAAAAAGACAAGATCTCCTGAGTAAATTGGGAGCATGGGGACCTTAGGGGTAGATTGAAGGGGGGGGGGGCAGGGAGGGGAGGAGAAAAAAATGTAGAGCTCAATAAATATCAATAAAAAAAAAGTAGGCGGGAGGGCAGTGGTGGTTCACATCTTTAGTTCCAGCACCTGGGAAGTAGAAGCAGTAAGAATTCGAGGCCAGCCCGGTTCAGAGCAAATTCCAGGGCAGGCTCCAATGCTCAGAGAAACCCTGTCTCAAAAAGTGAAAAACAAAATTAAAAGGGGGTAAGAGACATAGACTTAGTACTACTATCCTAATTTAAATCAGCACACACGCCCCAGCACTTTAATTGCTGAAGTCAGATTCACTAAATTCTAGGCCAGCACCCTCCCTCAATCACCAGACTGCCCAGTGTCACAATGAAGTGTATATGGATCCGGTAGACACCTCAACTTTTTAATTGTACCTGGGCCATAATCACCAATGAATAGCCCCAGTACCCAAACCATTAGTACATCTTCTAAATCTCTACAAAACAAGGAGAATGACCCCAGTCCAAAAAAAATCTTTATGTTCCTTTATTGGAGCAAGATTCCTGACGTATACAGTGATGTATTTACTAAACAGAGTCCTGTGCAGAAATTACACACTATCCATCTAGACAGATTTGGTTACACTTTGCCTATTGATGGAGTAGTTCCATTTATAAAGTTTTATACATCAAAAAGCTTTGAATTTGACCAGGCTGTCCATTAATCATCTCTGAAAAAGTGGCATTTAATTTTAGCTCTATTTTACAGCATTAAAAAGCTTATGTATCAGGTAGCTTTCCAAGACATTCTCTGCACAATGGCGTTGAGCAGACAAAAGTCCTTTATCCACTCAGATTCACAGAGTCTGAGAAGCTCTGCTACATACCTGGGACAGTGCACTCCCAACCACCCCAAAGACTGCTGACTCTGAAAGCCCATTTCCTTGGTCAGTTCAAATTGCCAATGAAGACACGCCAGCAGCTGTCCTTCGTACAGATGCCATTAGAGCAACAGGTCTGTGACATGGTGGGAGCAGGTGCTGTCATAATATCCAGGTAACTAAAGGCCCGTTTAAAAAATGCCAAATTGAGATAAAAATCATGGGTACAAGTCCATTGCAGCAAACTGTACCCACATCCACCCAGTTACGGAGACATTAAGACATGATTCACATCCCTTTAACTCAATCTGCATAGCCCTGAGGTCATCCTGCAAAGTGCGTATCAAAAAATATGAAGTTAGGGAGACAAAGTTTGACATGACGCCATTATGCAGGTCAAACTTGGAAGGTCATGTTGAGCATCTGTTCTGATAGAAAAGCATCCGGTCCTTTGTGTACACATTGGTTTTATTGTAACAAAGCAACTTGTACACTTCAACATTTAAAATGAGCATCTTTTCCTTCCAGTGAAAACCAAAAAACTAAAATAAAAAAAATAAAAATAAAGTTACAACAGAGAATGTGAACTCCAAATAAACCCCTACAGGTTCTGCTGATTCTCCCATTGAGTGGTAGGGCTCGAGTCATCGTTAGGAGAGAATTTTATTTTAAAAGTGTCATCTTAAACTGCAAGGATGTCTGTTAAACATCACAATTAAACATGCCAAAGGAGAAGCCATGTTGTCACAATGCCCACTTACCCCCCCAAGACACCTCAAACCCACCCTTGCTGACCTTCTATACCCCCCCTTTTTTTCTTTTTTTTTTCTTTTTATTAAACAAGAGAAAGTAGACAGATACATGTTGGTAAATGCTAACTGTCTGTATTCACATAGACACAGTGTAATCTCTGAGCCCAATATACAGAGAAAGGAAAAAAGCTAGAATTCTATGCACTACTACACAGGGACCTAGCACCCCCCAGCCTCCAGCAGAGCCAAAGGGGCTGGAGGGCTTTTCTTTTTTCCCACAGAGCACGGTGGTGGTGGTGTTGAATCCACACTTCGAGACAAGAAAAGATAAAAATGAATGTAGAACAGAGTAGTGGAGATTCTTTTCATTGTATTTTGCTCAAGACATTCCCAAAATAAGTTGAGAACCATGGTGTTGAGAAGTGAGACCTCAAAAACAGGGCGACTGAGCACAGGAGGAATTTGGGGAGGGGAGGGAAATGACTGCAACTTGCTCCCAGGGACTGGAGAAATTTAAAAAATAAAAAGAAAATAAAAAAGAGGTTCGGAATCCATCAGTCTTCTGTGCCAGTCATCTTTGCCTTCATCCTCCTCTCCTTCTTCCCCTTCATCATCATCTTCATCTTCATCTTCTTCACCTTCATCTCCTTCTTCATCAATATCTACCAAGCCTTCTTCTTCTTCATCATCATCGTCATCATCTTCTGCCTCTCCTTCTTCATCGTCCATATCAGGAACCTTAAAAAACAGGCAACGTTCCTTTATGAACTGAACTCACTTTGTAGGACACATTAACACCCCCAAGTGAACGAACATCAACCAACTCACCAAATAGTACTGCAAGGGGTTTGGCCAGATGTCATCTTTGATGACCTCTCCTAACTCATCTGCACCTGCATCAGAGTGGTCAGTAAACCAGGTAAAGAAGCTCTCTGGCTCTTCGTGTTGTCTCTTCCTGCTGGCCTTATTCTGTGTTTGACTCGAGCGTTTTGTCAAATCCTAAATAAAAACGCAGTATGTCCTATTATTAGCCTATAACACCCAAATCCCCCAAAGCACTAAAGATCACTATAGAGCAATTACTAAGAACAATTATAAAATGTGCTTGTCAAGTGCTTTCACAGAAGTATGTGCCTATCATTTCATAAAAATCACTTCCACTGTAGACCTAGACATCAGACCTGTGTCTCCAAAAAAGAAAATTGAAAAACAAAACTCTGTTAGGAAGATACAGTGTAGTATAAAAACTTTTGTACAACTAGAATTGTATCTGATCTCTACACACCAGAATTTCTGCACTTTACACCCAGTGATCTAAGGCACCAAGCACTAGCAGATTCAGCTAATCTACCTTTCCAGATTTCCATTTGATTTCAGTGGACTTTGAGGATGGGTCACCACTCTCATTCAGATGAAATTCTTTGGAGAGAACTTTATTTTCGAAGTAGGGGTTTTCATCAAAATACTGTAATAAATCAAAAGATTAGCAATCAATAAACAACTCTCATAACCAAAGCATACATTCATTCTCAATGACAAACAGATATTTGATACTTACAAAATCTATTCTGTAACCTGATTTAATGTCTTCAAATTCTGTTACTTCAACTCTGGTTAAATAATGCAGAGCCTCTTCGTCTTCCTCCCCAAGCAGTGCAGACACTAGAGAAGCAACTCACTTAATGACCACTTTATAGTGTTTACAAGTTCAGTAACAGCTTTGTTCTCTGACAAATCCACTGACTCCAGGACTTTGTCCTGACTGTAGCCCTGTGAGATTAAGTGCCCCCAGAACGCCCCAATTCCAGGACAAATGCCCCCCAATAACCTTCATTACTGCTAACCCCCCACATACCTTGTGGATGGTTGACAAATGTGGTTACCCAAAAATTTGGGATTTTAGCGATCAATTCTGACCTCTTCTGAAAAAACGGTTGGCGGAGTTTGTTATATTTTTGTTCTACTTTTAGTATTTCCTCACTGGCTTGTTCATTAAGTCTGTCTATTTCATTTTGTACTTCGTCAATGTGTTCAATTGCTTCTTGCTGTTCTTTTTCTCCCTTCGGCAGGCCGGGAGAGGCCGACTT